TACATAGGAAAGCCAAATTTGATATTATAATTATCAGACCTTTCCTTAATGAGACTTTCAAAGCAAAGGGAGAAGAGAAACTGGGCCTATTCTCACTCTTTTTGAAACAAACAATGCCCAGCCCCTAGACATATTATTCCTGAAAACTAAGCTTCACATATAAAGGAGAAAATAAAAACCATTCTCAACAAGCCAAAAAGCTCATAGAATTCACCCCAAGAAAAGGACCAGCCCTACAAGAAGGTTAACTAAAACAGCGTTACACATGGGGAACATCATAATAATACCCACGGGATTAAAAACAACCCAAAACCCAAGGATATTAAAGGCCAGAAATATTAAATGCTTCCAGGACAGGAAATCATAGCAACAAACATCCAACCAACCAAATGATCATAAAATCTTACCCTTACCTATCAGTTCTCCCTCAATAATGTGAATGGCTGTAAACTTCCACTCCAAGAGGACAGCTGGGTGAATGGATAAAGAAGAATACAGGCCCAAGTATATCCTTCTTCAGGAAACCACATCTACCCTGCAAGGAGCCATTAGACGTAAAAATAAAGAGGGTGGAGATCAATTATTTCCAAGCATATAGAAGCCAAAAGAAAAGGCTGGTGTGGCAGTTCTTAATTTCAGACCCGATTTTAGTTTTAAACCAGAAAGTAGTGAAAAGGACAAAGAGGGTCATTATATATGGTGAAGGCACCAGTTCCAACAAGAAGAGGAATAACATAAATATATACACCACTTTAGGGTGCACCCAGATTCACTAAAGCCAAAATTACTGGGCCTTAAGCAAATGGATTATTAGCAACTCCATAAAGCCGGAATTTTCAACCATCCCCCAACTGACAGGCACGAGACAGTTCCAAAACCAGACAAAATTAATAAAATAATGGACTTAAACAAAAAATCCTAGAACAAATTGGTCTCACAAACAAATCTACAGAAACATTCCTACCCCAAAACTCACTGAATTATACGTTTTCTCATCAGCTTCACGAAACATCTCTATGATTGACCATATCTAGGACCAAAGAAAATCTCAAGAAATTTAAAAAATTAGAAATCATACCGTGTACCTCTCAGATCACAGTGGAATAGTAGAAATAACGGCGTACAGACACCACATTTTACACAAGTGATTAAACCAACTTTACTAAATGATTATTCATAAATAAAGAAATCAGACGGAAATAAGAGTTCTAGGAGAAAACGACAATTGGAAGAACCAAGTTATCAACTCCCTCTGGGACACACTAAAGCAAGTTATGAGAGGAAAGTTTATCTCATAAAATGCCTATAACAAGACCGAAAGAATATCAACAAATATGACATCTAATGAAACGACTGAAAGAAGCTGGAAAAAGAAAACAGCAACCAAAACAGCAGAACACTGAAATCAACAAGATCAATCAACTTAAACAATATTGAAAACACGGGAAGCTATTCAGGGAGATTTAATAAAACAAAAGTTGGTTTATTTGAAAAATTAACAAAATGAACACACCGTTGGCTTATAGCTAACGAAAAGCAGAAAAAGAGAATCTCTAATAACTCTTCAGAACAAGAAGAGAGATTATCACAACTGATCCAACAGGGATACCAAGATACAATTTATGAAGACTTTACAAAAATCTTATGCACACAAACAGAAATGTGGAGGAATGGACCAATTTTAGAAACACAACAGTCTCCTAGGCTCAAACCAGGAACAAAATAGATCCTGAAAGACCACCAACAGCTGAAATAGAAATAGCTATTAAAAATCTCCCTGAAAAGAAAGTTCGGTCCAATGGGCTTCAACCTGACATTGTACCATATTACAGAGAACTAGTACCTATTTGCAAGAAAACTATTCCAAAACATCGAGAAGAAACGAAGGCACTGGCCCCGACACCTTTTATGAAGCGAATATTACTCTGATACAAAACCAGGAAAGGATGCCAACAAAAAAAGAAACTACAAGACCAATATCTCCTAATGAATATAGATGCAAAATTTTCAACAATAATTATCTTAGCCTAACCGAATCCAGACCACTTTTCAAAAAAATAATTCCACCAGACAAGTGGGCTTCATCCCAGGGATTGCAGGGTAATGTCAACATAGTAAATCTTAAATGCAATGTCACCACATAAACAGAACACAAAAAAAGACCACATGCATTTCTTGTCAAAAGATGTCAGAAAAAGCTTGACAAAATTCAACACCTTTCATGATACGGAACCTTAGAAATAGGGCATAAAGGGACACTAAACATGATACAGCCATTTATCGGCGCAATTATCTTCCACTTAGAATGAAAGACAAGGGCCACCTATCTCCACTCTGTTCAAACATAGTAACTGGAATTTGGACTACACACAGACCGCGAACATGGAGATTAAAGGTATCCAAATAGGGGCAGGAAGAGATTCAACTTTCCTTGCTGATGATCTGATATTGTATTATAAACCCAAGGATTCAACCAAAGAACTCCTGAACTGATCAATGAATTAGTAAGGTCTCAGGATACACAATCAATACACATGAAATCAGGCGCATTATATACGCCAACAACCAATCAATTGAGAACAAATCAAGACTCAATCCTTTCCACTACATCAGAATTTTAAGTACAAGTCATATTACCAAGACGTAAAAGACCTCTACCAGGAAGATCTATGAAAACACTGAGGAAAGAAATTGCAAGGAATAACACGAGATGGAAATCCATAACCAATGCTCGTGGATCGGCAGACCTATATCATCAAAATGTCATCTACCCAAAACCTTGATCACAGATTCAATGCCAATACCTATTAAAATCCACACGCATTTTCACAATAAGAAAAAATAATTTTACCTTCGTATGGAAACCAAAGAAGACCCGAATATCAGAGAGCACTTTCTAGCAACAAAAACAAAATGGGAGGCATTAATATGCCAGCTACAACTCATATACTAACAGCTGTAGAATAAAATAATATGGTATTGCACAAAAACAGAATATTGACCATGGAACAGATGGGTTGAGAATCCTGATAGTAAACCATCCTCATATAGCCATCCATCTTTGACAAAGCAGACAAAACATACACTGGGGAAACAATCTTCATATGGTGTGGGAACTGGATAGGCCACCTGTAAAGGCTAAAAACAGGACCCACCCTTTTCCCCTGTCCAAAAACCAACTCACGCTGATAACAGGACTAAACTAAGTATGAATCCTTAAACTTAGACGAAAAAGTTGGAAAACACTCTCCTAACATCGGCCTGGGCAAACATTTCTCAACACGTAGAAAAAAATAAATAAATGGGACATGACCAAGCTACAAAGCTTCTGCACAGCCAAAGAAACAGTCATGAAAGTAAACAGACAACCTACAGAATGGGAGAAAATTTTGCATCCTACCATCCGATAAGGGACTGATAACTAGAGTATACTTAGAACTCACGAAAATTAGGAGGAAAAATCAAATAACCCCATTAAAAAGTGGGCAAAGAACTTGAACAGAAATTTTTCTAAAGAAGACAGAAGAATGGCCAACAAACATATGAAAAATGCTCAACATCTCTAATCATCAGGGAAATGCAAATCAAACCACAATGAGATATCACTTAACCCCAGTGAGAATGGCCTTTATCAAAAATCTCCAAACAATAAATTTGGCGTGGTTGCGGAGAGAGAGGAACACTCCTACACTGCTGGTGGGACTGCAAACTAGTTCAACCTCTGTGGAAAGCAATATGGAGATACCTTAAAGCGATACAAGTGAATCTACCATTTGATCCAGCAATCCCATTGCTGGGCATCTACCCAAATGATCCAATGACACTCTACAAAAGACACCTGCACTCGAATGTTTATAGCAGCACAGTTAATAATTGCAAGGCTGTGGAAACAGCCCAAGTACCCATGAATCCAAGAATGGATTAATAAAATGTGTATATGTATACCATGGAGTACTATTCAGCTCTAAGAAACAATGGTGATATAGCACATCTTATATTTTCCTGGTTAGAGCTGGAACCCATACTACTAAGTGAAATATCCCAAGAATGGAAAAACAAGCACCAGATATATTCTCCAGCAAACTGGTATTAACTGAGTAGCACCTAAGTGGACACATAGGTACTACAGTAATAGGGTATTGGGCAGGTGGGAGGGGGCAGGGGGGCGGGTATATACATACATAATGAGTGAGATGTGCACCATCTGGGGATGGTCATGATGGAGACTCAGACTTGTGGGGGGAGGGGAGGAAATAGGCATTTATTGAAACCTTAAAATCTGTACCCCCATAATATGCCGAAATAAAAAAAAATAATAATAATAATTGAGAGGCCGAGTAAGAAAAAAAACAAAAACAAATTAGCATTTCAGCCTCACCTAGTTGATATCACCAAGGCACCTAAAGTACTATAGATGGAATTGATTGAGCCCTTACTAGATGATATTTTGAAGTTATTGTTTGATGCTAAGAAAGATTCAATTGAAATATGGAAAAATGGAGAATATTCCCACCTTTAGCAACATGCCCAAAAAGTCCTTTCTTGCTGTTCACCCACTTATTGCTGCAGATCTATATACTCCTACCAAACCCAAATCAAGACACTTTTAAGGTCACTACTGGCTGATACCCACCTAGAGGATCAACTGAAACTATGGACCTTCATGCTGCAACCAAATATTCAAATGCTTTCCAACAAAAAGCAGACAGGACAAAGTAATTAAAAGGTTAGTTAACTTTAAAATTAACAAATAGTATCCATTTTTTCAAATTAATAAGATACAGTATATTTTTATAAACCAGTGTACATTTTTAAGTCTACCTAATTGAAGTTTCTTGAATGCAGCTTTATTTGGCTTACAGATAAATTAATGTGGCCTTCCAACATGAAAAAGTTCCCCACCTCTGGTTTAGATCATTAGACTAAAGATTTCATTACTTGTTCAGCAGACATTTGCCATTGAGTCTAAAAGATGCATTCTATAGGATATGCTTACTTACAATGTGGTCCCCTCGAAGCAATCTCACTGGCATAAGTACCCTGCACATTGCAGGCACTAAATGCTACCCACTCTGCTTATTGGAGTGCTGAATTCTTTCTGTTCTCTTTTGCTTCTGTGTCTCTTCGTAGTTCCAGGTTGAGTAACCTCTTCTTTACTATCTAGGAGACTCAGCTTTCTCTTCACATGCGAACTAGATCATAGGAGAGTGAAAGATTCAGACAAAATAATGAACATAAATAGATCATATAAATAATAGAAATGTGGGTAACTTATAGACTAAGCCAATAAAAATGGCAATATTAAAAAGTAACAGGCATGAAAACCATTTGGAAATATTGTGCTAGGTGATAAGAGAAAATAAATATTAACTACTGTAAATTTCTTTCTACAAGACCATGAAATGAAAATGTGGGCTGCCTGGAGGTGTATTTATATATTTTCTGAGTGGCATTTATTTTACTAAAAACTGAAAACAATTTTAATATTTACACATTAAAGAGTAAGAAAAGAACGTATACCTATATTATGGGCCATCTATAGAAGAAAATATAATGCAGATATCTACAAAAATGAGGTGAAAGAAGTCAAGGACTTTAGCTAATGCTTATATTTTTTGAGAAAAGAGAAAATCAGACAATTTGATGAAATTCATTCTTCCACAATAACAATGTTGCAGGTCTGTGCATTCAGAAAGGTGGTATCAGAGTTCCATTTAGACAAATTAATGCCTTTGTGAACATTAGACAATTAGAACAAACTAAGGCATACAATGAAAACTTTCACAGATCCACTTAAGTATGGGACTCTGAGCAGACTGTGCCTGTGACTCTCAGTAGTCTTTGTCACTTACCCTTTCAACCAGAGGTATTGTAGACAACATTTCTGGAAAAGATTCAAACATAGAATGTGTAACATATGTGTGTTCTTTCCTAATAAAAGTGACATTACCTTTAAATTTACTAAAAAGTGATGGCATGAAAAGACAAAAATAGTTGAAAACATTCTTTTAAAACTGATAATGAACGAATGAATTCATATTTAAACACAAGCATGAAAGGTCTTAATACATAAAGCAAAATATAAATTTTCTTATAGACAATGTTTATGTAACAAATAACATGAAAATGTATACAAAAGTATTAAAAATATTCACATTCAAAAAACAAATAGCAAAAAAAAAAGAAGGAAAGGAAAGGAAAGGAAAGGAAAGGAAAGGAAAGGAAAGGAAAGGAAAGGAAAGGAAAGGAAAGGAAAGGAAAGGAAAGGAAAAAAAGGAAAGGAAAGGAAAGGGGAAAGGGGAAAGGGGACAGGGGAAAGGGGAAAGGAGAAAGGAGAAAGGAGAAAGGGGAAAGGGGACAGGGGAAAAGGGGAAAGGGGAAAAGGGGAAAGGAAAGGAGAACACATATTACCCAGCAAGGCCCAAAGCAGTAACATGTTGTTGATCAGCAAGCAGAAACACTGTTGAAGAAATTCATTCTTTATCTGGAAAAAAAAAAAGTGCTTTCCTCAGCACTTTCCCAACTCCAGAGGGAAGGGAGGGACTATCTGTCTTGCCCTTGCAGACCCTGAAAACCCCGAAGGGAGCTCTGAGCTCAGCTGTACCAGCTGTGCACAGGCATTGGGGGGCGTGGTCTGGAAGAGGAAGACCACAGTCATTGGGCTGCCTTTGCTTGTGCAGGAGGCACTCAGGGAGTCAGTGTTCTCTGTACAGGTTCCTACCACCACCACTGTTGCTGATGGAGGGAAAAACTCTCTCATTCTCCAGAAAACAAGGAAAGAAAATGAGGATGCACGCTAGCAAATATAATTCACTGAGAAAGATAAAAACATAAAGTGGGGGTATGTCCAGGTATTGCCTAAGATTCACAAGGAGGTTAGACACATAAATGACAACAGCAATGTTCCAACGTTCTAAACCTTTCTGTTTACTCGAGGTACAGGTGGATATTGGTGTCGGTACAAGGCATGCAGTTTTTTACTCTTCTTTTACTTCACCATAGAATAGCACAGTGGCTAAAAGAAAGGGAATTGCAGGAAAATTTGTGTGTGAAATGAAGTATCTTAATAACTCAGAAAGTGTGGTATTTGCAAATGGAGAAGAACAATAGAAAAAACAGAACTAAAAAAGACATTAATATTTAAGCAAATAATACATAAGATGGGAAAATAAACTTTCAATAAATGTTTTAGGAATATCAATATGCATCATTAAAAATACAACCTACTGTTACCTTCCCATTACATACATTATCCATTCTAAGTGGATCTCAGACCTAAATATAAAAGCAATTTCATATATCATTTATAATTTAATTTAGAAAAAAATAACTTCATTACCAAGGTGAATGGAAAGAATTCCTAAAATATAAACCTTTTCTTACATTTACTATACAAGAAAAACATATTCTATAATAACAGTTGTTGTGAGCAAAGACTGAGTCAAACTCAAGATTCTTCTATTCCTTCCTTGTAGGGCTTTAGCTGAGATTCAAAATAGTGCCGCCCTATGGAGATGTTGTTAGGATTGAAAGAACTAATAACATATAAATCTGTGGAATAATATGAGATCTATACTAACCACTACATGAGTATTTGTTAACACTGAAAACTTTTTCTAAAAATTTGCATTATGCATCATATGCATCAATTGTAAAATTCATCATTATTTTATTTTATTTTATTTTATTTTTTTTTTTTTTTGAGACAGAGTCTCACTTTGTTGCCCAGGCTAGAGTGAGTGCCGTGGCATTCAAAATAATCAGTCACAGAGAATAAGCAGAAAAAAAGAAAAAAGAGCAAAGCCTACAGACTGGGATTTCTGAAAATAAATGTAGGGTCATAGGTTACAAGAAGAGGAAGAAAAAAATCAAGGTTGACGAGGCTGTTTGAAGATAAATGAGAGGAAATTTCCAGGCCTTGCTCAAAATTTGATGTACAATCAAGAAGTTCAGAGGACCTGGGAGAATTCAACGCAAACAGGAAGAGTCACATACAGACAGTCCATCAGACTGACCAAGTATCAAACTAAAGAGGCCCTTTCCTAAGAGCTGTAAACAAAGAAGCAAGGACAATACAAGGGAAAGCCAATTGATAACAATCAGACTTCTCTAATGATACTTTACAAGCAGGAGAGACTGGGGCCCTATTCTCACTCTTTGAAACAAACAATGCCCAGCCCTACGAATATTATTCCTGAAAAGACTAAGCTTCACATATAAAGAGAAATAAAAATTCTCACACAAGCAAAAGCTCATAGAATTCACCAAGAAAGACCAGCCCTACAAGAAGTGATTAAAACAGCGTTACACATGAACATCATAAATATAACCCACGGATATAAAGAACAACCAAAAGACCAAAGATATTAAAGCAGATTTACAATGCTCAGGACAGAAATCATACAACAACATCCAACCAACAGAATGATCGTTAAATCTAACCTTACTATCATTCTCCCAATAAATGTGAATGGCTTAAACTCTCCACTCAAGAGACATAGGCTGGGTTGAATGGATAAAAAATACAGGCCAAAGTATATGCTGTCTTCAGGAAACATCTAACCTGCAAGGATGCATATAGACTAAAAATAAAAGGGTGGAGATCAATATTCCAAGCAAATAGAAGCCAAAAGAAGGCTGGTGTGGCAGTTCTAATTTCAGAGGATTTAGTTTTTAAACCAAGAAAAGTAGTGAAAGACAAAGAGGTCATTATATAATGGTGAATGGCACAGTTCAACAAGAAGAGATAAACAATTTTAAATATATATGCACCAACTTAGGTGCACCCAGATTCATAAAGCAAACCTTACTGAGCTAAGCAAATGGATTATTAGCAACTCATAAACGCCGAGATTTCACATCCCACTGACGGCACGAGACAGATCCTCTAAACAGAAATAATAAGGAATATATGGACTTAAACAAACTCTAGAAACAATTGGGTCTCACAAACATCTACAGAACATTCTACCCAAATCCACTGAATATACGTTCTTCTCATCAGCTCACGGAACAATTCTCTATGATTGACCATATCCTAGGACACAAAAGAAAATCCTCAAGAATTTAAAAAAATAGAAATCATACCGTGTACCTTCCAGATCACAGTGGACATAAAATAGAAATCAACCCTAACAGAAACTCACATTTCTACACAAAAACGTGGAAATAAACAACTTCCTACTAAATGATTACTTCATAAATGAAAGAAATCAAACGGAAATAAAAGAGTTCTAGGAAGAAAACGACAATGGAGAAGACAAGTTATCAACTCCTCTGGGACACAGCTAAAGCAGTTCTGAGAGGAAAGTTATCTCCATAAATGCCTATAACCAAAAGACAGAATCACAAATAGAACAATCAATGAAAACGACTGAAAGAGCTGAAAAGAAGAAAGACCAACCCCAAAACCAGCAGAACAACTGAAATCAACAAGATCAAATCAAGAACTAACAATATTGAAAACACGGAAGCTATTCAGGAGATTAATAAAACAAAGTTGGTTATTTGAAAAATTAACAAATTGACACACCGTTGGCTAAGCTAACGAAAAGCAGAAAAGAGAAATCTCTAATAAGCCTATCAGGAACAAAAAAGGAGATATCACAACTGATCCACGGATACAAGATACAATTTATGAAGATACAAAACTTATGCAACAAACTAGAAAATTGTGAGGAAATGGACAAATTTCTAGAAACACACAGTCTCCCTAGCTCAACCAGGAAAAAATAGATTCCCTGAACAGACCAATTCAACGCGAATAGAAATAGCTATTAAAAATCTCCCTGAAAAGAAAAGTTCCGGTCCAGATGGCTTCACACCTGAATTTTACCATATTATCAAAGAAGAACTAGTACCTATCTTGCAAGAAACTATTCCACAACATCGAGAAGAACGAAAGCTCCCGACACCTTTATGAAGCGAATATTACTCTGATACCAAAACCAGGAAAGGATGCAACAAAAAAAGAAACTACAGACATATCCCTAATGAATATAGATGCAAAAATTTTCAACAAATCTTAGCTAACCGAATCCAGACACTTATCAAAAAAATAATCCACCACGACCAAGTGGGCTCATCCCAGGATGCAGGGATGGTTCAACATATGTAATATATAATGCAATCACACATAAACAGAAGCAAAACAAAGACCACATGAATTCTTCAGATAGATGCAGAAAAGCCTTTGACAAAATTCAACACCCTTTCATGATACGAACACTTAAGAAATAGGCATAGAAGGGACATACCTAACATACAGCCATATATGACAGCCATGCCACTCATACTGAGGCGAAATGAATCTTCCACTTAGAACTGAACAGACAAGGGTGCCCACTATCTCCACTTCTGTTCAACATAGTGGAGTCTTGGCTACAGCAATCGACAGGAAAATGGAATTAAAGGTATCCAAATAGGGGCAGAAGAGATCAACTTTCACTGTTTGCTGTGATACTGATATTGTATCTAAAACCCAAGGATTCAACCAAGAAACTCTGAACTGATCAATGAATTTAGTAAGTCTCAGGATACAAAATCAATAACAGAAATCAGAGCATTCATATACGCCAAAACAATCAATTGAGAACAAATCAAAGACTCATCCTTAAATAGCAACAAGAAATTAAAGTACAAGGAATATATCTTAACCAAGGACGTAAAAGACTCTACAGGAGATCTATGAAACACTGAGAAAGAAATTGCAGAGGAAGTAAACAGATGGAATCCATACCATGCTCGTGGATCGCCAGACTCATATCATCAAAATGCTATACTACCCAACTGATCTACAGATTCAATGCAATACCTATTAAATCCAACAGCATTCTTCACGATATAGAAAAAATAATTTTACGCTTCGTATGGAACCAAAGAAGACCCGAATATCAAGAGCATTCTAGGCAACAAAAAAATGGGAGGCATTAATATGCCAGATATCAACTATACTACAAAGCTGTAGTAATAAAATAATATGTATTGCACAAACAGGAATATTGACAGTGAACAGATGTGAGAATCCTGATATAAACCATCCTCATATAGCCATCCAATCTTTGACAAAGCAGACAAAAACATACACTGGGAAAGAATCCTCTTCAATAATGGTGCTGGAAACTGGATAGCACCTGTAGAAGGCTAAAAAGGACCCACACCTTTCACCTCTCACAAAAACCAACTCACGCTAGATAACAGACTTAAACCCTAAGGTATGAATCCATTATAACTCTAACGAAAAAGTTGGAAACACTCTCCTAGACATCGGCCTGGGCAAACAGTTTATGAAGAAGTCCCCAAAGGCAGTCACAGCAGCAACAAAATAAATAAATGGACATGATCAAACTACAAAGCTTCTGCACAGCAAAGAAACAGTCATGAAAGAAACAGGCAACCTATAGAATGGGAGAAAATTTTTGCATCCTACACATCCGATAAGGGACTGATAACTAGAGTATACTTAGAACTCACGAAAATTAGGAG